GTGCTGCCGCATCCGCCCTACAGCCCCGACCTTGCCCCGTCCGATTATCACCTTTTCGTTGCCCTGGACCGTCACATGGGTGGAAAGCAGTACGCCAACCAAGACGACCTGAAAACCGATTTGGCCAACTTTTTCGTAGCGCAGCCGCCAGAGTTCTATTGGAATGGCATCCATAGTTTGCATAAACGTTGGCGTGAAGTGATAGAGGCCAATGGTGATTACATTCATGATTGAGATGATTTTGCTTTTAAATAAACTGGGTTGAAATAATTGTTCATGAAATTCCGAGAACTTTCTTTCCAATCAGATAGTGGTAGGTGTCAACAGTCGATCGGGCCGCTAATTAAACAAAGAGGAAGATTTGAGTTGATTGCAAGTAATATGGCCGGGATACTTAACGAGTTCTTCGCTTCCGTTTTCACTGTGGAATCCGACTCGGCACTGACTTTAGAGTAGGTGACCTCGGCTCGCATCGAGGATATTTCCATCACCGAGGAGACGATCGTGAATATGATAGGGAAGTTAAAGGTGGATAAGGCGATCGACCCCGATGGGATTCCTGCGAGAGTCATTAAGGAAACCGCGAGAGAAATATCGGTTCCGCTAAGAATTATATTCGAAAGCAGCTTTTCGCGCGGGGAAGTACCTAAGGACTGGAGACGAGCAAACGTCGTACCGATCATTAAGTAGGGCGAAAAGAGTAATCCAGGAAATTACAGGCCGGTAAGTCTCACGAGTATCCCAGGGAAGATCATGGAGAGCATACAAGGGGACCATCTCTTTGATTTCCTCGAAGGAAACGCGCTCATTCGGGACTCTCAACACGGCTTTAGGAGGCGTCGAAATTGTCTCACCGATTTGCTCGCATTCTACGACTGGGCGACGGAAGAGAGGGATAAAAGGAATCTTGTGGACATTGTCTATTTAGATTTCGCGAAAGCTTTCGATTCCGTTCCTCACAGGAGGTTGCGGTTTAAACTGGAGGCGCACGGGATCCAGGTTAGGACGAGCGAGTGGATCAGTAGCTGGTTGGCAGGACGAGAGCAACGGGTGATGATAATTGGGAAGTGTCGAAGGAGGTCGGAGTCGCAAGCGGTGTCCCTCAAGGCGAGGTCCTCCAACCGCTTCTGTTTTTGGTCTACATAAACGATTTGGATCTCGGCGTAGAGGGTAAGATGAGCAAATTTGCCGACGACACAAAGTTAGGTTTTACCATAAGGGGGAGGCAGATAGGGCTAGAGCCGAGCGAGATTTAAGTATTTTGGACGAGTGGAGCAAGAAATGGCTCATGAGGTTTAATAAAAGTAATTGTAAAGTTCTCCACGTCGGTCGAAACAACGGTAGGTCTCTCGACACGTTCGGCGATGTTAAATTGGATAAGGCAAACGGAGAGAGATTTAGGAGTTTCTGTCGATGAGGACCTCAAGTTTTCCTCGCACGCGCAAGTGATGGTGGCCAAATGCAACAGGATTCTAGGTTACATTCGTCGGTCGGTTGCAAGTAGGGCATCTCGCGTTATTCTTTCGTTGTATGCGGAGCTGATAAGACCCCAGCTGGAATATTGCATCCAGTTTTGGAGGCCTACAAATAAGGGCGATTTGTTGGCGCTCGAGGGAGTACAGAGGAGGGCCACTAGAATGATTAAGGAGGTCAGGGGACTATCATACGAGAAGCGTTTAGAAGTGTTGGGACTGTACTCGCTCGAACGAAGGTTAAGGAGGGGCGAACTCATCCAGGCTTTCGAGATAATTAGGTAGGTAGGTAGGTTTTTCCAGTTTGATGACAGCAGGAAAACGAGAGGTAACCGACTTAAGTTGCGCAAACCGCAGGTGCGGCTCAGGTCGAGACAGGAATTCTTTACTTGCAGAGTGGTGAACGCATGGAATGAGTTAGATGACGAAGTAGTGGCTTCCCCTTCTGTGACTATCTTTAAGAAGAAACTAGATGCTTTCATGAACAGGCAAAAAGGTGGGGGGGCAATGTTGACGTTAGGTACTAGACAGTAAGCAACTAGGATAGTCAAAAACCAAACAAAAAAAATACAAAAATACATAGCTTGAAGAGGGCCTACCCTAAAATTAAGGAACGTTCGACCTCGACATATGATATCGAAATGGGCGAAATCGCCTATGGTGTCACTAACTCTTTTGACTTGATCGAGATCCACGAACCTTGCTGGTGCGCCGACGGGTCTCACCAGAACGAAGAAGACTTGGCCGGAAGTGCGTATGCAAAACCTGACCCTGATATAACTACCATAGTAGAATGGGCGAACGCAAAAACCACTATGGTAGTGAAGTCTGCTACGCAAAATTGACTATGGTAGTCACAACTGCGTACGCGAAAAACACTATCATAGTCGGTTTTGACAGGAGTCAGATTCGCGTACTACACCGGTGATGCCAGCTCAACAGGCCTCGAGTAGCAAGCTCGGTTGACAATCGCGTTCCGGGTCGGGTGCGGGCCATGATTCGAATCGGGCCGAGTTTCAGCTCGGAAAAGTCGACCCGTGCAGGCTTCCGACACGCAGAAATGCAGGAGGACCCGTAGAAACCACGTTAGCAGCATACTCTTTGGACATTTGACCAAATAAATATCGGCTGTAGGTCATGAGTTTTCGATTGACGCATCAATTATTAAAACCTGTCCATCCGTCTGGGAGGAATTTCCCGGAATGACAAACATTACCCTCTCATGAATATGGATAATTGAACATTTAAAAATTAACTTTGTAATTAATGAACATTTTGATTATTATACACTTTTCGTCAAACCATCACTTCATGTAGAGTCGATTGACACCTGGCTGACCTCTGTGTCACGTACAATTCCCTGGGAATAAGCGTGACAGGTAGGTATTATATATATATATATACCTGTATATAGAATAGATATAGATAAAAGACGCTTGGCCGTCTGCATGTCCGCAGTATCATGTGCGCATGCGTGGCGCCTTCTGTCGGCTCCAGGTGTCTGTCTCGCTCTATCTTTCATTAGGCCGTTCTTTCATCTTTCATCGGCCATAGCGGCTGTCGGATGCATTCTCGAGTATGTAATAGCCGGGGGGGAGAGTTCAGATGGCATGTCGAAAGAAAAACAATGGAGCGGCGGGAATCCATTCTGGATCCTAAATGGGAGACGATACTTTTCTACTACACCACCAAAACATATACGACAACGGGAGAAATGCATTCTACGCACACTCCCTGCTCCCGATACGGACCCGGGGGTTTGATATGGACTTTTTCAGCAGGGACATGTAAAACGTCCCCATTAAGGAATGATGACTTCCTCGTCGGGATGGGATTTCATCATATATTTCACCATTAGATCATATATGTATCGGGATCTCCACCCTTTCATCAATCAGAACCCCATCCTTTTATTGATCGGGATTCTCACAAGGAGAGTGACTCCCAGGGTGAAAACGGTAGGAACAGGAACCCTTGGATCGGAAAGACGCCGTCGGCCGCGTAGTAACCATCCGGTTTATCTTGCGCAATTTCACTCATGGGCATACATGAAAAGTGGTGGAGATGAACTTCACCGACGATCATCATCGAGATCGATACCGGATGAGAATGCCGCCCGATAAAATTCCTTATCGTAGGCGTGAACACCCCTGTGAATAAGAAGGAAGGGGATGCGCAAGACATACAGTGTCCGAGCGGCTGCTGCGCAGAGAGTTTATAGAGCCGCTGACTGAACTCGTGAATATCCGAAAATGCTACACGCGTAGCTTAGGTCGACCCATAGCTCGTGGATGTCTTCCATAGGTTGGGGTCTCCGTCTCGCCCGAGAGCGAGACGGAGACGGATAGTTTCATTCAAGTCTTCGCGACTGTCGGATTCGTTCTCGAGAACGGGAGACTGCGCAGCTGCCGCGTGCTGACTGAACACATGGATTCCCGACTACGTTCATGACCGTAGAGGGGGGGGGACCGGCCACACCTGATGATGTATGTACTTTTGCTTATTAGCGTAGCGTTCGATTGCAATGAAGAGTTCAAACATTAAGTGAGTGTGTTTGAAGGGGCATGGAGAGGGGAAGAGTGGAAAGGGGGCTCTTACGTGAATATTGCCCCAGGCCTCACAATTCATTTTGGCGACCCTGACCGTTACACGCTAAGGGTGCCTGCACACCGGATCAGTCTAGTCTAGTCTAGTCACGATTAGTCAAGTCAAAACGTTTACAGCCCCATAGATCAACATGCAATGACTGATACTGCCTTCATGCCGGATCAGGCTAGTCTAGTCCAATCAAGCTGGGCGAGTCGTAGTGTGCATAGCACACCTGTCAGTCTTCTTCAGTCTAGCCAACACTTTTACAGCTCCATTGCTAAACACGCTCTTTCTGATGTCCACTTCACACCGCATCAGTCAAGTCTAGTCTAGTCTCGTCAGTCACGTTTAGTCAAGACGCAAATAGGCACAGGATCTATTTTTCCGTCATTCTTTATCAGTCTTTGGTGTGGTATGGGACTTGAAGGCATGCGCGAAATGGGTTCCCAAGTGGAAGTACTGATTCTTTGGTTCGCGAAAGGCCTGAGATCTACGACCTGCCCCCTGTTTGCTTCGTTTTTGCGTGCCACCTCCTCATCGCCATGCCTCAACTCCGTCTTCGTGCCCTGCTAGTGCTGCTCTGTACTACGAATCAGGGCTTCCGTACGCTCGCACAACACAGGAGCACGCTCATGCTACCCGAACTCAAAGTTCACCTTCACATGGAAGCGAAGGGGCAATGACTGTTGAAAATGAGATCTCTCTATCCCTCATTAGAAATTGATTGAGTTTGATTGAGATAGGAGAGCGGCTTCTGATTGCGCAAATGAATTGGAGAATGAGATCGGTCATGAGATGCGAAATGACACCATCTTCTTGAATCACTCCAGCTCTCGCACTAGCTTACAGGACATGAACTGTTAATTAGTAAGGTAGAGAATGCCAGGTCATCAGTTGCAAGCTGAGACCATATTTCTCTGTCGTCACACCTATCTGGCACGTATTCGCGATCCCGTAGGACCCTCCATTCTCTTGTGTATTAGAAATAAAGGGGTTGAAGAGCGAATTCTTCATTACCTCATTGCATATAGCCCTCATCGGAGAGTTACCCATGGAATTATGTTTGCGACGCTCCTCAGTGTGACTCCTAGCCGTTACTCTGGAGGGATAGCCCTTTGGTAATGGTGTTTTGCTTCTCTGTGTGGAGCTATAAGATGCAAGAGTTTCTCAAAAGAATATGTCCTCATCCGAAAATACTAATGGAACCGCTCAGGGTCTTTCTGCAATTCGGCGAAAAGGTGATGGAATTCACCGAATTGCTGCCTTGGGAATTAATGGGATGCACCCACAACTTCCTTCGCCATCTCTTTCTCCATCGCCACAACAGAACATGGGTAGACACCAATTCTTCCTCACTCTCCTCCATGCTGCACAAGACCACCACTGGAGCAGATGGTCAATTGAACTGGCATTACAGTTGTGCGTGCGTAATCACCTGACCGAAGGGACTGGACTGACCAATGACTAAACGTGACTAGACTTGACTGATTCGATGTAGATGTATCCGTTGGTAATGGTGAATGCATGACTGAATTGACTAAAGTAACTTGACTGAAGCAGGACTTGCCTTGACTAGACGTGACTGAACCATGCCTGGATTGGACTGGACTAGACTAGATTAGACCGATCCGGTGTGAAGGCACCCTTAGTCTAGGCCAGAAATATCAAACTTGACTAAGCTGGCGGCCGGATGGAACTCCTTCAGGAATGGTTGTGCCCGTATTCGCACATCTTGCGCCAAAGTTTCAATAAGAGTTCGTGGAAGTCTTCCACGGGTCGGCTAGTAATAGTAACATGCAGTGAAGTTTTTTTTTGGAGCGCGGGGCTTCAAAAAAACAGCCAAATGGTTCTTTTTTAAATAAGAATATATAGAAGGTTTCAACCCAATCAATTAAACTCTGAATGTTGATTTATTACGGAAGGTTTCAGCCGAGTGTGATACATATCCATACCAATGGTCACAGCATGTGCTAAAAGCGCCTTTCAAGTTCTCGGACGCAAGAATGCAGCCACTTTCACCATTCCTGAATTGCTACACCGATGATGTATAAGAAAATGCGCCTTAATGCCAGGCGCATTTTCTTATCCTTCAAGTTTGAAACGATGTAGCACATTACACTTGGTGCTAATTTCCTTCAAATTTGACATCCTCATTTCATTTATACACATGCAATGATAGGAATATTGGACCGATCGGATTAAATATACTAGTACTACCATTCCAATATAAAAAAATGAATTGCAGTTTTATTTTTAAAACACCGTGTATATTCTTTCAGATTCTTGCAATTTCAGAGTCCTGCTTTTTAAATCTACTGTAAGGTACTCAAAGGCCCCAATCCTTGAGTTTATCAAAGGAAATGGACAAATTCACTCACTACACAAGCCAGTGATATCATCTGCCACAAATCCCTGGTAGCATGAACAGGTTTTTCCCTCATCATTTTCTTTGCAAGTTGAATGAGCTACGCACGACGTCGAACTTGAGCACGATCCTCCAGCTGGCATTTCTGCATGAAGAAAAACCAAAACTCCTCTTTCGATTCATTGTGATTGAATAAACTTTTGAATAAATTCTCAATCTAGTATTCGGTGATTTAAAAACGGGTACCATGCTTTATTCCTGTGCTAGTTCATGGCATTTGATTTGATAGGTTTCCCGTTTAGACTGAAATTTTGTGCACAGAGTGGGCCAGAAGTAAGGAAACACGTTTGAACTCCGGATTCGACTCCAGCTGACTTATTTTTCTGCAGTCCAATCTAAGGCATTGTGCACGAGATGAACCCCAGGACTCTTCCGCACTCAGGGATCCTATTGCTGTCACAATGTAGAGATTTCCAGTGGAATCATGCCTATTACTACCTGTAAAAACATGTACTTGTAAAAAAAAAACTTGAACAGTTGACACATACAACAATTTTCATGAAAATATTTATGGCATTGAATACTTCATAAACACGTGTTTTTGTGTGTACCACTGTTTAGTTCGATTGCTCTTCCATAAAAGTTTTGTTAGAGTTCAGAAGTGTTTCCTTCTGGCCCACCCTGTATATAGTTCATCGCCTAAGTAAGTTTCAGTAATTATCCAGCAACAATGTAGATCTCCCCTTGCCCCTTTCACAAGGAAAAATTCATCTGCTATCGCAGTGTATCCAGAGCAAATCTGCTTCAACTTTTCTTGCTGTCACAGATTCCGTTTTGTCTTGCAAAAACGACCTGATCCATAATGGCATACTATTGACTGACCTGAAGATTCAGAAAGATAAACATTATTAATAAAAATATATTTCCAGGGTGGATCTACGCTTAGCCAACATGGATATTCCTAGAAAAGAAAAGCTAGGGTTATGAAAGTTCCCAGCAAATTGACAGACGACATGACACATCTCCATTTCCTTTCGCAACGGCATTGTATCTTTCACTTAAAAGAGAACCATGTAATCGTCTCGGCACTTTATTCTATGTCATGTGTAAGTGAACACCTCTTTCTCAATCCATATGTCCTGTAGCAATGTATGGATCCTCTAAATGCATCGTGAAGCATTTGAATACCTCATCTTCACGTGTATTAGGAGAAATAAAAGGAATTTCACTTACTACAAAGCCCAGTGATATCCGTCACGAATCCTGGGTAACAAGTGCACGTTTTATCATTTTCATCATCTTGATTGCAGGTTGAATGGGTCACGCACGATGTTGAACTTGAGCATGATGTTCCTGCCGCAAGTTCTGAATAGAGAATGACAAAACATTAATGCCTTATAATAATGTATGTCAGCATACCCACAAGATCAAGGTTGTTTGTAATGTGCAAAACACTCATCTCACAAGTGAAATGCTTCCTGAATTCACTGAACATATAATGGATGCTGGAGAAAGTAATTAAAATATGAAGAAGTGGAGATGGACATTCTCTAATGCTGATGATATCGGGCGAGAGAATGAAGCAAGCGGGATCAATATTTCACTTAGATCTGGTAACACAGAGACATGATGTCTGTGTCATTTCTACTTTAGTCCTCGAGGACGGTCATGACTACCTGAAGCGGAGGGTTACATAATGGAATGTCAACCAATGATGATGCCACTCATAATTCCCAAGCAATGACCGCTAAGGATTCTCATTTTTATTCCTGTTAGATGCATGTGAAAGTGAAATAAGTGTTCCTATGTATGACGTGCACAACCATTTACAAACGTAATTCCCAGGCTTAGCAACTTAGAAACTCTTTCACAAGATTCTCTAAGGGTTCTCCTAAGATAAATTGAATTTTTGGAAATTACTAAGAGAGTCCTTGAAGTGAATGTCTTGCTTGTTTGCCGATCAAATTAATAATTTCGCCTTCTTTCAGCGGCTCCAGAAAGAAGCAGTAACGGAACGGAAAATCTTGCAGCTTGAAACCGGAAACAATATTCAAAAGAAAACAAGAGACATTAAGACGAGCGGATACTCAAAACCACAAAAGGGAATTGCAACCGCCCGAACACGTCATTCCTAAGAGGGTTGGCACACAATTGTGATATTGCTCTTGAAATTCACATTACCTTTTAGACTTGACTTGTAATTTCTACATTTCTACATTCAGCATGTCATTCGATCTTTAGTACCTTCGAGATTGAGTTCAACATTCGAAAAAATTACCCATTCGGTATTCCGTGCCTTTCGATAAAAATTATACTTCCTTCCTTTCACTCTTGGATGTATTCTGCATTCAGTTCCTTCTGTCTTCTAATCTTTCGAACTAACGTTTTTCAACCATTGGATGTGGATCGGCATTTTTTTTAAGTTCCCCAAACGTAACTCTGCTGATGAAGGAAGTAGCAGCAGACACTTCCTTAGATACCTAATTTCGCCGCGGTTGTTACAGGGAATCAAGTTGAGCAGTTATATTCACACAACACCACTTCAGAATCATACACCAAGCTATGATTCTGCTGAATCACAGAGAGTTTGTTCGGTCTGCTCATTGATCGATTGCCATCCAACGATGATAATTTAATATTCAAATAATCAGGCTGCCATGCGAAAAAAATTCCATTCAAGTACTCGCACAGGGGCCGTCAGGTCCTTCAATATCCTACCAACGCGTATGCCTTCATTTTTTTGTAATTTTGGAATTCATTTAGCCCATATTAAGTCATACAAAGTTCCCGTCCTTCCACTTACAAAAAAATTTACTCACTGCACAGGCCAGTAGCATCATCGGCTACAAAGCCGTCGTAGCAATTGCATGTTGAACGTCCTTCATTTTCTTCGCAGGATGAATGTGTCCCACAAGCCTCTAGTGGTGTTGAGCATTCAGCTCCAGCTGGCTGTTCTGCATGGAGTAAGGTCAAAAATACCCTCAGAAGCCAAATTCTCATTGAAATATAAATATTGTAGTTGCAATCAATTTGAACTGGCTATTCCAGAGTTCCAGAAGAATACTTCGATTTTAAAAATTCCAGATTCTCCACAAATCTGGCATTTTTCTCCTCCCCTCTCTCTCTCTCTACCTTCTGCTCCTAGATCCAATCGCGATCAGTTGTTGGCATTTTCATTCGTTAGCGAAGGACAGGAATATTCGGTTAGTTTGGGGACAATCAATACAATGAAGATGTTTTGCCTGAAACGCTTGGGTATAGACTTGGTCCTTTCGAAATCTGAGTCTTCTATCTTCATGGGTCGCTGAAATGAACTCGTAGGGATGGCACATTCGTTAACTCTTGTCTTGAATTTTTTTCCCGTTTTGTTCCAGTGTGGCTCCTTCAAAAACGGGCTATCATCCCACTTTAGATAGCGTTAGCTTTCCATACTCGTGCATTCAATATCCCCACCATCAAGCGTAATTGCCGACCCGGACTCCTAGGGCCCCTTCCCTATCTTCAAAGAATGCGTCGTAGTCTGTCGTTTGCGCTTTCGGACCGAACGAGTCAAACAAGATCTTGATTCTCTGGAGTATGAAATGGATCAGAGCGACCCGTTCCCTGATGGATTTTTATTTCATCATGTTGTCTGTCAAGCCGAGACGTAATGCGCATTTCTATATCTTTATTTCCGCCTTGACAAATACCTGTACAGTTGGGTATATTCCGTTCCAGTAGACAATCCATCTATGTCCAATTGCGATCGAACCACTGAATTTTATATCGGTTGATGCTATGCCGACTACAACTTATGACATGAAATTAGCACAAGAGACAGAAAAAATGGACTACAGTCAACGTTTACTGTCTCTTCCGATGATTCCGGCTACTCTTACCGGGCGTCAGTACGTTCCAAGTCCGAAAACTTAGACTCCATTTCCAAGGTCATATAAACCTTTGGTTCTGTTCTTGGTCTGTCGAAAGGACCCGACTTTGTATCAAGTCATTTCGAAAGCATAACAACTAATGGGGTCCAGACTACTCTGGGCGACGATCGATCCGATTTTTAACTCCTAAGTCGAACTCGCCATATCTGTTTGGTTTCGTCGCAGCCACCTCACAGCTCATATCCTGTTCCCTGAAATACGAAGGGATTTCACTTACTGCACAGGCCGTTGACGTCATCCGGCACAAATCCATCCATGCATGTACAAGTTCTGTCATCTTCATTTCCTTCACAAGTTGAATGGGTCACGCACGGTGTTGAACTTGAGCATGTTTCTCCAGCCGGCAGTTCTGCACGAAAAATACAGAAAATTTTGAAATTTTACTAAAGTCCTAATTCAAGAGTTTATGGAAGGGAAAGGATTTCCCTCACTGCAAAGGCTATTGATATCATCTTTCACAAATCCCCGAAAACATGAACACGTTTTCATCAAACTGTCATCGGTTTCAGTGCAACTTGAATGAGTCACGCACTCGCTTGTACTTGAGCATGTCTCGCCTGGTGGAAATTCTGCGTGGAGAAAGTTACCAAACATTATTTTTCCATGCACCATGGAATTATCCAAAGCAGTGAGGTGTAGTGTGGGTAGCGCCCGACTTACGATAGACCTCCTTCTGGAGGTCTATCGTAAGTCGGGCGGTTCTGAAGCAATTAATATGTATTGGACATTTGAGGAATTATTAATTGGATGGAGTCATGGGAGAGCACGGATGTAGCATACTGCTAACGACGGGAGTGAGATCGAGGCTAGAGGTAATATCGCTGCGCGTGGATCATGTTACTCCGCGCACGTTTGGTCTCAGCACTTTCTTTTCGACTGCTCCTAGTCATCGGATGCATCAAGACAAAACAACGACAACACGGTATTCTTCTCTATTTCCAATCGACGCTTACTGTGGAAACAAAGGTTCATAATCCTGTGTATAACGTACTTTGACATTTATGTTCGTAGTTCCGATGCAGTCTGGGGAACTCAACACAGGCTCTATCGAGCTGTATTGAGTACAACTCCGCGTCAAAATATTACGATATTTTTAAAAAGTTGCGCACATTAATTTCTCACTTGACGTATTTTGTGACACGCAAGGGAACAATTTGTACTAAAGCCTAATGTGGAGCCTTACCTTTCTTGATGTTAGCAAAGTTGGCTCACTTGTGGTACTTGTTGCTGGGGAGGGGTCCTATGCAGAGACTTGATAATGGGCTGTGTCAGAATATTACGATATTTCATGAAGTGTGTCAAAATATGATATTTTAATGCACATGGCGATTGAAGGGGATTACATGATCAAGTCATCGTAAACAACATCAGGGGGTATAAAAGACTCCTTTCAGGCCTGCCTGACTCATTGTTAACGCACTTTGCTTTGACACGCATGGGCCGAAAGAAGGATCTCATCCCAGTGAACAATGCCACCATACTTGCACTTCATCAGAGTGGAAAAATACAGGTGGACATCAGCAAGTTGTGTGGTATTGCGCAATCAACAGTGTCTGCTGTCATCAGAAGCAGCATTGGAGGTGAACCCGCGCCTTCCAACAAGAAGAATTGTGGGAGAAAGAAAGCAACAACAACAAGGGAGGACAAAAAGCTGCGGAGAATTGCCATTGAGAACCGCATAAAGTCCGCTGCAGATCTTGGCAATCTCTGGGCCGACGCAGAGATAGAAGCCTCGAAGAGTACTGTCCTACGCCGCCTTCACTCATTGGGGTTTGAATCACGGATTCCCAAAGTGAAGCCTCTCCTAAACGCAGCTCAGCGGTTTGATGTGAGCGAGAAAATATTCCTCTTGGACGTCCGCTGACTGGTCAAAAGTCCTCTTCAGCGATGAATCAAAGTTCTGCATCACATTTGGTGATTGTGGACCACGCGTGTGGCGACGGTGTCCCTTCTTCTGAAACGTTGATGGGAGGTGAAGATTTCATTTTCCAACATGATCTTGCACCTGCCCATGCATCCAAGTCCACCAACAAATGGCTGGCTGACCACGGGAATAAGGTGTTGGAATGGCCAACCAACTCCCCAGACCTCAATCCCATAGAAAATCTGTGGGGGAAAATGAAGCGCCGGCTACAGCAGCTCCGACCATCTTTCAAAGAAGAGCTCAAGACCGTAGTCAGGCAAGTGTGGGAGGCCATCACCCCAGATAAATGCACCAAGTTGGTGGAGTCCATGCCCAGAAGAATTGCGGCAGTCATTCGCAGTCGCGGCGCTCCAACTATGAACTGACTCATACTTATGTCAAATATTTGTTAAATAAACCACTTTGGACAACAACTTGAACACTTAATATCTCAGTTTTGGTCAATTTCGTAATATTTTGACACGCCTCAATATTCTTCGAAAGCCTCAGTACCAGAGCGGTCAAAGAAACAAAATTTTGGAACGTCTCTCCTGTAAATGGCAATATTTGAGCTTTCGAATGAGGTAAACATAATGCCATGTTGACAAGGTGTTGGACAACACTAACTTCGAAAATAGATGTAGCTTCTTTTCTCCTAATATCGTAATATTTTGACGCGGAGTTGTATATTCCCATTGTCTTGAGACTCGAGGAATTAAAATTTCGAAGGCAAGACCAGGAACACGAGAGCATGAGGAGACCGCTGTTGCGGAAGAACACATCGGTCAAGAAGAGTAAATAAATATCCGTACAAGGGGATCGCGAGCTCTCGAAGACACGCGTGAGGAAGGGAAAGAAGGGTTCGCCAGAAATGAAGATGTGCACTTCTTTTAGGATATCGACATACATTCATTTTTAGGATGGGGTGACGTTACTGCTTGAACTCGAAGACTTTCAAACGCTTGTGACAGTCTTAACATGGCCAATACTGAAGCAACCTAAGTCAGTTGGCTTCCTCTAAGGATAAGACATTCATCCAAGAAATGTATCAGCCACGGGGAAAGTAACATGAATGTCACCTTTGCATGTAAAGCTTATGGTTCACGGGCATATCAGAAAATTCTATTATTCCCGTAAATATGTAACTTATACCGAACCTGACGAGGAATTAAACTCGGTTGATTGGAACAAACAGAGGGTGATGAGGCCTTTCTTTTTTTACCTGGAAATGGAACTTCTTAAATGACATTCTTTATCTTCATACTTCATGCGCCCATACGTATCTTGATCGTGCTTTATGGTAGTGTTTGAATTCAACATATTCATACGGAGACATTAACGTCACAAGTCCCCATTCTAAAACATTGGAATGAAAAAAGAACTGACTACACAATCCAGTGGCATCATCCGTCACAAATCCCTCGAAGCAAGTGCATGTGGAAACATCCCCATTTCCTTCGCAGGATGAATGCGTGACGCACGCTGCTGTTGAACTTGAGCATTCAGCTCCAGCTGGCTGTTCTGTATGAACAAAGATCCAGATTCCTCCGTTAATCCGATTTCTCATCAAGTAATCCAGAGCAGAATGTAAGTTCCTAAAAATACAAGGAAATTATCAGGAATGACAGAAAATATCAGGAGCTCGGCCTTTTCAGACAACCGACTTCGTATGTACACCGTGATTTAAAAAAAGCAGGACCCCCTATTTATTAAATGTATTAGTACATTTACATGAAATTTAAAATATAATAAGCCTAATAAAGAAGCTACGTATTTCTGAAAGCTGTTTGAAAATTAAAGTTCACTTTTAATCGGCGATGATGTCATTATAGATCTGTTACAGCAAACCCTGACAAATGGCTTTCAGTGAAGTAGACTAGCATGTCATCAAATCTTTAAAACAGAGTAAACATTATAGAGCTTAGATATTACTAAAAGAGCTGTGACTATCATTATGATCATTTGTTTTTGAACTGCAATCGTAATTTCATGTAAATGGACTAATAAATATAAGAGTTCTAATAAAATATTTAGGGGTCCTGATTTTATGAATCATGAAAGATGGAAGATCAGCCACCCGGCTCGAATCTTTCAGTGATGAAAATTTTCCAAAGCATTGGAGTTGCAAAATCCTCAGTTCACCGCGTGATCAAGGAGGATCTTAAACGCCGAGCGTTCACCCGACCGAAGGTGCAGCGATTAACTGTAGCTCAAAAGGAGTAAAGGAAGCGATGTTCTAAGCGTCTTTTGCGCCGTGTTACACCTGCGATTCTTCTCAGCATATGATTCACAGGTTAAAAAAAAGTTCACCGTCCGTGCGCCTTGGAATCGCCAGCATCAACGAGCTTACGGCTCCGCAACTCACAAGAGGAGAGACATTTCTCCACGCCGTCTCGTAGCCCCACGATTGCACTTCCCAGTCTGTGATGGTATCTGCTGGCGTGTCCATGACTGGGAAAACTAACCTCCACTTCGTTAGGTCAGGGGTGAAGATCAACAGAGATTATCTGTAATAACCTTCTTGCTGGTGGCCTACTTCCAGACATTGAACTGAATCACCTGTATTTCAAGAGCCAGCGAATGGATATTGTAATAACTTTGCATGCATGTGCTCACTTGATGTCAACTCTCAAAAGAGCACAGCAATAGTCTGAACCGACGCGAGATGCGAGACGCGATTGCGAGAAGCTACTAAATGAAAAAGGGTACACTTTTGGGGACAGAATGTATATGATACAGCATGAAGATTTTAGAATTTCACATTCTTATAGATCCGATTACGAAGATATTGTCAAGGAATTCGATTCCCCTAAAGCATGTGTTCCATCCTACCATTTTTATTTTGCGAAAATCGGAAATATTGCCTTCATCTCCAGTTGACCCCGGAAAAGAATTTCACTCACTGCAAAGTCCAGTGATATCTGCCACAAATCCCTCGAAGCATGTACATTTGCTTGTCTCTTCATTTTCTTCACAGGTTGAATGAGTCGTGCATGTCGTTGCATTTGAACAAGTCGCTCCAGCGGGCAGTTCTGCAAGGAGAAGGACCACACTCTCATGTCCATGCAGCAGCATTTAAGAAATCTAAATCGACTATCCAGATAGAAGAAGCAGTTAGTGAATCATGTCTGTTCATTCTTCAATTACCCAGAAAAATGGCATACTCGAAAGCTGTCAAGAGTGGTAATTCAAGTATTCGATCCTTCATCAATATATTCATTTTGCTAGGAATTTTGTCGACATCTCCAGTTCACCCCTAATTATTCATTTACTGTTACGATGATCCCTGACGACTCAATTTTGTAGGAAGTTGGAGGAGTGCAGGTGGAAAGTGAATTGTCTTTTATCGTTGTCTTTCTTGCTCAATAGTAGACATTAGTCCTTTTCCAATGTTCCATTCCAGCCTATCACTGCGCTACGGGGTGGGTCAGAAGTCCAGATTCCAAAGTTTACATTGAGCACAATTGCCTTGCAAGAATGACGCAATACATGTTGAGGAACGCTTCTTAGCAAACATGGCGCCGAATCGATATTTGTTTCGGGCAAAACAGTGTGCATACCGATATGTATCATCCTTTAAACTCTAAAACGTATGGCTGCGTAAACAAATAGTTGATAAGTGCGCATAACTGAAGCACGATCAACTTTAATGCAAACTGATTGAGACATTCGGCCCACCCTGAACAACGTTTCACATTCAGACTCCTTGAACATACTGAAATGCAGTGAAAATAAGTTCACTTACTGCACAGACCAGTAATATCATCAGCCACGAATCCCTGAAAGCATGTACATGTCCTACCCTCTTCATTTTCCATGCACTTTGAATGAGTCACACAATGAGATGTCTCATCACAATCATTTCCTGCTGCCACTTCTGCAAAGAGAATGAAAAAAAAACATTTAATATGATATCACATCATAAATTCATCCAAAGCTAATATGAATTTCCAGCAGAAAGTCGCACAGCAACGCTACAAGCAGGTTCCGGGGCAAGATATCTACTCCGTAAGTTCAAATCTTGCTTCTTTTTTTTACCGATACCTGGATCTTTCTTTAATCGCAAATGAATAAGTATAATGATAATGCAGCTTCGTCCAGTTCGAAGAGTGAATGACACTCAGTCCTGTTAAGGGAAAACTTGTTCATGCATCATTAAAACAGTTTAGCTTCATACCAATGCCCTCTCCTCAAAATTTCCTGTTTATCTGTGAAAGAATATACATATAACACACCCTTCCAGTTTTTCTTTCAAGCTCTCTGCAAATGTCTCAGTCTTAATTAATAGCACAACGACGGGTCGTCGTCAGTTGCAAGAAAAAATCAGTCACATCAATATTTTTATATATAAATAAAGAATTCATGTGGAGAGAGAGCATTGTTGCAGTTCTTTCAATAGGTAAATTGAAAAGTAAAAGGGAGTAGACTCACTGCACACTCCATCGATGTCATCCAGTGTGAACCCCTCATTGCATGTGCATACAAATAATTCACCGCCATTCCCCGCATCGCAGTTGGAATTGATCCCACATTCTTCATCATTAGTACATTTCCTTCCTGTTTTCACCTCTGCGAATGAAATAATTCATTCACACGGAGAGAATGACATTTTCCAAATTGTAAAAAAGGAATGAAAAAATGGTTTTAGGTTATTGCAGCGGGAGAGGCTTCTACCTGTTGAAACATGAATCACTAGGGAAGTGAAAGCGCCACGAATAGTGGCAATTAAAGATGAGTTATTGAAAGGCCAAAAGGAACAAATAATCCCTTACCATTTCCAAAAAAAGAAAAAAAATGTTGGGAATAAGGGTCCGCCCTCATCCTGGCAAACAAGGGGGGAAAGAAGTATGAATTTCACTCACCCCCCCCCCCCAAAAAAAAAATATATATATATATAAGAATAATAAGAAGCCAACGGTCTCTTACTACAATTTCCTAGTATTAACCTGAACTTACATTTTTAAAATGTTGTGCCCATCAGTAAGAAAAGAGATAAAGCTTTCTCTTGCTGAAAACCACATGGAAATCGAGTATTTCAGAAGCGAAACATGAAACTGAAAATTAGACCCATAGAAGATCACACACCATCAATAATGGATACGATCAAGGCGTACTCAAGTGTGTAAGGTGAAATTGATACATGGGTCACAAAGATATTCTCCCTGCAAAGGATACAGCGGAATTTTTGCTGGAAAATGCCCAAGGATCAGCAATAGAGAGAAAAAGTTACTGGCAGTACGCTTGTGGAGCTGCTTCGAGTGCCTCCCGACCAAAAATTTCTCGAGCTCATGAGATTCTCACTTGACTCATGAGAAGTACGAGTTCTCATGAGATATTACGTACATGAGACCTCGTGAGGTTTATCATGACTGGTTAGGAGGTTTCGTGACATCTTGAATCCCGCTCAATCGGATGTTTTTTTGAAAGTTAGCTTTCTTACTTTCCATAGTTCTCGAGAACTATGAGACGCTCATATGAGGCTTCAGACTATCCCCTTTAGACGACAGGCAAACGCGAAACCGTCATTTCTGAGACCAAATAATTATCATCCAGTCCCCCTCGTCTCCACCAGCGTTATTCTCGTGATTCAGCTGTCATAACACTGAACCCCGCCCAAACCGAAAATTCTGCGAAACATCATAAAAGGAGCAATTCCTGGCCGTCTTTATTATGTCAAAAAGAACTTAACTTGGAATCTGTTTGCGAAAGAGAAAACAATGCTTTCCTTTCTCAGATCACCATCATTGTAGATGACAATATGACCCTATGAAGATGCGGGAGGTGTACTGGTGGAGATATTGTTCTTGGCATAAAGTAGTAAATGGATAGAGCAGAAACAGGACGTCTATAATTATTTCTGTCACATTTCCATGAACAACCTCTTCTGATCGTTACAGCCATTGTTGCCCAATCTCTCAGGAAGCGTTTGACTATTTTTGTGTTCAAAGCAATGTCTCCTGTAAGTTGAATGGATCAGACACACTGAAGTTACATATCCTTAATTAATCCAAAACAGGAATTTCTTCTCTGCACGTGTTGTGAAAAAAGTTCCCTCTTTCTCTCCAGGACCAATTGTCTTAGAAGAGAAAGGAACAAGAGTAAGGGGGAAAAACTCAGAAGAGGAGGAAATACAAAGTAAACTGGATTACATGCAGACTACTATAATTGATACCGAAATGCATTTCATTTAATACACTTCTTTTGTCAAGTATAATAAAATTCTGAATGACTTAGATTCTGATGAAGAGACAAATCAGGCAAGGCATCTGTCCTTCATGCTAGGAGAAGAGTGCCACAATTCAAGTAAACGAGTACAACATGCAAGCATTGACAGAATAATTGTCACAGAACTGGCAAGCATAACCTGCAATAGCAATAATCTCTGATATCAATTCCTATAACCTTAATAGCAATCATTGTAGAACTTTAAGAGGAAAACTGTTGTCGGAGGGCGACAGAAGAAAATATACGCATTCGATTCTATTAAGACAGAGCCATTTACAGGTATGTCTTACTTATCCTGGGGAGAATCTTTCCATCTATAGATAGAAGTAATTTTGTGAATGATAGAGCTTACATTCATTTCTTGGGAAACAGTCTCCCGAGGCACATTTCAGACGAGATGTCTTCTTTGACAATGATCATGCTTAATTGGGGCCAATGCAAGATCCATACATAGTCTTTACAGGATGTCATGACTATGAAGTTTACAGTGGAATTAACACTAGAAGGGCCGGACCCACCCGCATACCTAGAAGGGCCGCAAGCGGTCATTTTGACCGCTACCGCTAAATAACCATCTGGCGTGTTTCTGAGAGGCGGATATCGACAGTTAATTTCTTTTTTATTTTGGAACTAATACAAAAATCATCAGGAATCAGACATCAAACAATACAAAATAAAAAATGTTTACGTGATTTTTCCGTGAAAGTGAAAAGTAAAAGCCTAACGCTTACAATTTTGGCAGGCAACCATTGCAAGTGATTATCTTGTCTGAACATTTACCACAAGCGGCCTTGTCTCAAGCAGGACATGTGTCGAATGTTTTGCTTTTTTGCATTTGGAGAGTACTTGACATTGGCGTCGCTTGCGGTCACCTTGGGCCTGAGGCTCATTTTCCAGTTGTGTGCAGCGTTGGGGCCTTTTCTTCGTGTACTCCGCCCTTATCTCTTCCACTAGTTGGAGAATGAACTTGTGTCGAGAGATCCTCTTTCCTGTCACCTCTTTGTAGATGACCCAGGCATTTATTGCTGCCAGGTCAAGCACATTGTAAAAAAACGTGTACAGGCCACCTGCGAGATGCAGCCCTAACAATATTTACGAGCCATTTGGTCCTCCACACCATGTCCACACCAAATTTAGTGCCGTTGTAGAATTCTACGGAATCGGGAAGCTTCTTCTTGCCTTCGCGTATTTGGACACTCGGGTGCAGGGTACTTAGCAGCAGAACATTCTTATTCTTTTTTCCTTGATATACGGTTAGCGTCGTATCTTTTGCACTCTTTAGCACGGTGGTCTCGTAAAGATGTGCCTGTGATGTCTTCATAGTCGCTGGGATTTCCCTCCTCACACGATTCATTGTTCCAACAATGGTTGTTGCGCTTTCTCTCAGCCAGCTTCAGCGACGTGAAGAAGCTATCAGTGGTGATGTTGCGCCCTTTCTTGAGATAAGGGCCCATGAGCTGCATGATCACATTTTCAGGCAATGATTCGTTGGCAGGACGCAGATCATCTTTCCCAAGGTAAGGGAATCCGTTGCACATGTACTTCGAGTCAACATCAACCAAAAGCCAGAATTTTATACCAAATTTATCTGGCTTGTTGGCCATGTACTGCATGAACCTACACCGAGCTTTGCTGGGGAAGAGTTGTTCATCTCCAGTAACATTCTCTCCTGGCCTGTAGCACGCATAGCAGTTCTCAATGAATTTGTTCCACACTGCAAATGCCAAAGCCAATTTATCTGTCTGCAACCTTGCAGATCTGGTTGTACGCACATCAAAACGCAGGTAGTTCATTATTTCTTTGAACCTGTTTCTTCCAATTGTTTGCGTGAAGACGGTTGGACACCATACTGATGACCACGTGAGATTTAAGTCGAGTCCGTCGGCATTATATGCGAGCATATACCCACGAGCAAATACCAAAGCAATGAAAGCATCAAGTTCTTCAAGGGAAATCCACCAACTGTTGTCCTCAGTCTGTCTGGGAACTTCGGTCTTGGTGCACATATTCGCATACCACAACATAGACTACTCAATAAACAAACGCTAAGCGCTAGACATGTTATTATCTGTAACATTACGTTTAGCATGCGACGTAGGTCCTTCTGTCTCTTTCAGCACGTTAGTAGTACTAGTATATGTACCCACTCTGGAACTCAAGGATTTTTTAAAAATGATTTCATGAATTTTTGTAGGAAATTGCTTTTTGTCCCGTTTAAAGGTTTTTCCTAATGATTTTATGGGAAAATGCAGTCTAGTGTGGATTATAGGTTTTTCTTGATGTATTTAGAATTAAATATATTTATTTGGAGAAGTAAAGAAATTAGTATTTTTTTTACATATAAATCCTGAATTGTGTTAGCTTCCCGCTTTTTTGGAAATTTTTTCAAAAAGTTCGTTTATAAAAAATTCTGTAAGGATGTTGATTCTTAGAGGTCCCTGTTTAGGGGACCTCTAAATTTTCAAATTTACATTTATATGTATCATGTATATGTCTTTCAATAGCATTTAAAGATTTAGCATACTCCAAAATTTCAGCAACATCTCTTTGTATTTTACATCTTTTTTGTTGGAACCAGGGTATCCAATTCAACGTTTGAGTAGAAATCAGTCGGTGTTTCCGTGGGAATGCAAAATAAGTAAATTTTGCACTCTGTGACGTGCAAAATTTTTTACTGTAGTCTTACAAGAGGTGCAAACGTAAAAAGTTGTTGAGCCGGATCTGGTTGGTGTAGAATAATATATCGATACGATCTTATTACATTTGCTGCATGACATTCCCTGCTGTTGAACACCATTACTTTTTTATTGAGTATCATAAATAATTTTTTGTATTGTGCTCTTTCTCATATTTTAAACATCTATCTTCAATATTATAGTTTTAATAACCTCATATAACTAATAAATTTTTACTCTTATTTTATTATTTAAAATAAACTTACAGTATATAAGTTTTTCATTTCATCATAATTTGTAACGTTTTTGAACACAAAGTATTTTTTTTATTCCCCGTTTATTAAGTAATCAGAAAAAGAAACAATA